TCATATACATATACACACACACTCTCTCTATGACCATCTATGGTACACGTTTCCCACCTTCACTGTTCCCCACTTTATTAATTATGGGCACAAACTGTGCCAAGCTGCACACTTTCTGTGACCAACACCAACACAGTGTACCCTCAGTTCCCTGAACACTCTCCCCTGAGCTGGCCCACCCAAGTACACCCAGATGCCCTTCACTGTGAGGCATGATGCCATCTAAGTATTTCTCTTGCACCCTGTTTTGGTTCCTTCTGTGGCAGCTGGTTGGTTTCCAGATGGTATTTACATTTTCTCTTGTCCAGAGTTACTCTAAGACATTCCTCAGCAGAAGCTCCAATATAGTAAGAGAAGCATCATTATTTCAGTTAATGGTGGAATCTGTAATAAGTGAGCTGTGGTCCTGACTTGGCCACTACTGAGCTGTGCTGAATCCCTTCACCTCTTTATGTGTAATGAGCAGGACAGAACAGCAGGTGCGGGGATGGCACCTCAGCTGTCACGGGCCCCGACTCACTGAGTATGGTACTTGGCCCCACTGAAACCAAATGCATCCTCAGAATTCTCCTAAACACAGTGCTCCAGGGGGCTCTGGCCACTCAGTGACAGCGGGCCTCTGGAGTCCATGTGTGAAATTCCACACGTGCTCACTTAGGTCTTAGCCAGCTCTATCACACAGTCTGAAATCACTCCTGCTCCTAGCTGTCTCAGTTATGGCCGAATACAAGGTTCTTTGGAATCCTTAGTTTCCATTTCCTCATGGTCGAAACCTAGTTGGAGTGGAAAAAGGAGAAGGGAAAGAGATGACATGAAGACACATCCTCAGAGAAGCCTAAGCAGAAGCAATGATTTTCCTCTTAGAGAAGGGTTTCTCATCATTCCAGACTTTTATTTCATACTACATTTTAGCATTTAGTTAACATGAGTCTTTGTTTTGCTTATTAAAGCATGTATATACACCCAGAGCCAACATTCTGTTCATTTCCTAATTTTTTTTTTTTTTTTTTTTTGGTGAATCAGCTTAAAACTCCCCACTGTGCCAGATCATCTGCTCACCTGGCTTGAAATCAAATCACTAAGTCTAAGCTTTCACATTCCAAAGGCAAAATTGCTCGGCTTTGTAATAACAAGAACGTCTTATACATGCCCCCCAAAATGTTAAAAGGATGAAAACAAAATCAGCGCCAGTCTGGATAATAGTATTTTCATACTAAATAGTCTGTGCAGACATGCATAGGCACAAAGTGTGTCTGTAACACAGGACCAGCGTGCCCGTGGCCTGTCAGCCCTTCCTCACCCTTGGCAGACATCACCAGTCAAACCCAGATTTTGCTCTGAACATGGAAAATTGTTCAACAATCTACACCAGGTGATTCTTAGCAAGTGACCAGCACTGGCAGGTGAGACAATACCCACTTGCCACCCTGCAAGGAGGAAGAGACTGAGGGTAACCAAGACAAGTCCTTCTCTCTGGCAGCCTCATCACTTCAACAGTCCCAACCACCCTCCTTCCAAACTATTAGGTGCCATTTTGGAATAAGGATGAAAAGAAAAGTGGTCAGACGCTTTTGCTGCTGCGAGGGTTTTGAAGATGATCCAGTCCTCCCCTCCCACGTACCCGTGAGAATACTGAGGCTAAGAGAGGGAAAGGTTGTCCAACTTCTTCTCATGAGTTAACAAGAAAAGTAGGAGTCGGAGTTGAATGAATCTTTAAATGTAATACACCGGGGGCTGGCCATGAAGGTGAAGGAAAAGAATGTTCCATTTCTTTAGTTAGCCTTCTTCTGCTTTGTTATTTCCAAGAGATTGCGAATAGCTTTGGTGTGTATTTCTTATGTTTCCTCCCACTATCTGTCTCTCAAAAATAAACGTCTTTTTTTGTGTGTGGCCAAAATGGAAGGAAAGGGAAGCTCTTGGACTTCATATCTGCAAATGTTATGAAATAATATACTTTCTAAAGTTTCCTTCTACATTGGCACAATGGTCCTCAAACCTTCAACCCATTCAAGACCTACAATATATCATTTATTTTTATCCAATGATCTTAAAAACTGGACTTCAGGTACCTGAGCCTGTAACAGTCAACCTCTATAAATGAGCATATTTGCCATGTTTCATGCTAATAACCTAAAAGAAAAATTAGTATCACAACATTAAATTTTTCTATGCTTAAAAGAACACATGCAAAAAAAACCCTGCTGAAGCCCCCAAATGACAGAGATTTATTGTCTTATATATCTTGATTCAGTCACTTTAAAATTTGGTCATGCTATTTCCTTGGGATCTCAAAGCACCGAGAACCGGATGCTAATTTTACAACAGCACTATGCAATCTCAGAAGTTCTTAAATGATGGCACTGGCGTTACCACACCACAAAGAAATGAGCAGACAAGGAGATGTTCTTTAAAAAGGTTCAAATGCTCAGCCCAATATGAATCGAAATACTGATGAACAGATGATTTGCTAATGTGACCCAGCCCTATCAGAAACAGAAAAATTCCAGCTCGAAATGATTTTTCATGTTTTAAGGTATTTCTTAAAAAGTATACATCTTTAATGTTTTTGGCTAGAATGAGTAAAACAATCAAGCAGGTGATGTTTTCATTTTAATCCTAGGAAAGTATTTTTCTTTACTCATACAGCTATATAAGCTATCATACAGCTATATAAGCTACACACACACAAAATACTACTTAATTAGAAATGAGACCATCAGATAATCTTTGATCATGAAGTAATTTCACGTGCCAAGAACATCAACAAGGCTAAGTTATACTGAGTTCTGAAACACATAAAATACAAAATAAAATTGATTCTATGTAGGATTCTTCAAACTTAAAATCTGTCCAGGAAATACTACAATTCACACAAATTACAAGTTACCAAAAATAAAAAAAAAATAGCATCCAAAGCTGTCAAGTTGATTACGTGAGTAAAATTAAGAACATGCCTACAAAGAAAAGAATCAAACCAGAAATCACCGACGTACTTCTGCTCCCAGAAAGCGTGGCTAACAAAGGGCCCACACAAAGGCTGTAGGACCCCAGGACCAGCAGTGTCAACAAGGTAGCATCGTAGTGCCTCTCGGAACCAGCCGGCGGGGTGAGTGTAGAATTGATCAATATGTTCGCAGAAATATCCGTTTCTGTACAGCTGCGGAATCCTCCTGGCACAGTCATCTAAAAGCGTCAAGGCAGGCTTAAGCAGGAAAAACTGCAGCCATGTTCACGCCCAGATCCTTCATGCTTGCTCTTAGTGAATGAGCATGGAGAGGGGAAAAAAATCTGTAAGCTCCAAGGCACCACACAAAACAGATTAGACCAGCTCGCAAATCAAACTGAGAGAGAAACGCGTGGATTTGAATGCTCCATCTGCAGCAGGGACACATCGCTGCTAGACAGGCTCTGCGGGGAGAGGGTAGACCCCTTTGTTAGAAGACAAAAAGGCACAGACAAAAGCATTTTATAACCTCCTTCGGAGTGTCAGACACGGCACTGTGACGGTGGCCAAGGCGGCACGGCTGTCAATGGCAGAGGCTGGGAGTGGTACTACAGAACGTGTTGGCTGGCAGCGTCACAGATTCTGTGGCTACACAGCCCTCGGGGAGCCCGTGGAGAGGCGGTTCTGGCAGATGGTTTTTTAAATTCCCATTGCACACAGAGAAAGCCACGGGCGTGAACTACCCTTCCAAATTCATCAAGAATTATCTGTTCCAATTATCTGTTCCTCTGATTTTATGCCACACCTTCAAAATCCAGGCAATAAACAGATAATAATCCTGTTTCATTTTAAGGAGCATAACCCAGTCTTCTTCACACAGCTCTGCTATCCAGCTGTGTATTAACATGGAACCAGCCACTGCTGCTAAAGGAGCTCTCAACAACATGCTTGTTGTTACTCCAATAACAAGAAATCATCTTCCAGAAACTCATTCTCAATTCTGTTCACATACTGGCTGTGTGCCCTTGGGCCAGTGACAACCTCTTGAGCCTAAATTGCCTTATACATAGAATCAGTAACAGCAGAAGTTACTTGAGAGGAAAAAAGGTGAAATAATGTGTGGTAACCCCGTGACACTGCTCCACTCTCCAAAGGTGCAATAACCACAACCCCCTCTGTCCCCGTCCCCTCCGACCAGAAAAAAGAAATGGACCCCTCCTGGAAGCAGAGAGAACTCTCCCCCCCCACCCTTATGTCTTGTTTTATCTGGTATTCTTCTTATCCGTGTACATAGCTTCTTTCTTCTCAATTCCCTTTCAGGTAAGAATCGATTCTCTTATAACCTGTATTTCTCACTCCATCTGTCATGATGCTCGTACACAGCAAGCACTCTGAACGTGTTCAAATTAACTGATTTTGTAAGCCGATTTAAAAGGAAAGGAGCAAGTAAATACTAAGATCAAATACATTTTTTGAAGGAAAGGAAAAGTTCAATTAATTCGCCCATATTACACACAGAATTCACACTAGCGAACAACTTTTAAAATATTCTTCTGATTTCAAATTACTTAACATTAGGCTTGAACTTATAATATGCTAGTCATATTACACTGAATCTAGCATCCAAAGCTTATAAAACACACATCTAGAAAATTTTATCTTTTTATAAAATAAATGGAGCTAAAGTTATCTTTTTTTTGGATTTCTAGTTGGGTTCCAATGGCCCCTAGATCATGTCCTCTCCTTAAACAAACTGAAGAACACTCTCACTTCAAATGACATGCTTTAGAATCTTTCACGTAAAAAAGAAAAAAGTCCTTCTACGCAAATATTTCAGTGTTTGCACATTCTTCCAAAGAGTGTCATTGAAAGAATATTTTTCCTGCCAAACTTTCACAGCAAAAAAGCAAAAGAAAAAAAAGTGGGGAGAAGAAACCGTATGTCTGTGTTCCCATAAACCACAGAATCGAAAATTCTGATAATTACATGTGGTACGCTAGCTTTCGTATAACCACAGTTCCAACAACCCCCGAAAGCTGGCATTCGACCGACTCACAATTATTGCTGTAGGTGTTCAGATCACTGCGGGTGCTGGTAACGGAGGAAGGGCTTCCTGTCCTCCGGAGCGCAGAACTCTTCAAGGACGCGTTGGACTTAGGAAGTGGTCTAGGCACATTCACCCAAGACGGCTGTGCAGTCTTCAAAGATGTAGGTTTTCCTTCAGGGTTAAAAAAAAAAAGTTCTACTGCCATTTATTTCAAAAGTTGTAAGCTTGCAAACTCAAACTCCTACACTAAGAACCGAGTGAAAATAAAAAAATGAATATTCAGAATCATAGAACTTTGGATGCAGTCTTCACCCAGACTTATTTATTTTTGACGTAGCAGAAGCAGAAGAGCAGAGATAGTGGCCAGGCCTGCCGGGTGGCTGTAACCATGTAACCTGGAGGAACTCACTCATGCCTTCTGGGATACAGTGATAGATCGGAAAGGGCCACGTGAGACACAAGCTTTCGGCAAAGTTGAAATCAAAGAATAAGCAAACTGATGTGACTTCTCTCCCCTACACTGTTGGTCAAGAAGTAAACAAACAAGCCCATTCATGCACTAGGCTACCAGATTTTAAAAAATAGATGAAACATTTAAAACAACCAAACAGGAAGGAAAAAAATCAATTTGATTTAAAAAACAAAAACACTTCATTCAAAAAATACCTAACATCTAACCACCAGGTGGTGCTATATTAGCAGTATTCTATTTTTCCTCATCTTTTTTTTTTTTCTTTTTAAGAGAGAGAAACATGGGATTGTTGTTTCACTTATTTATGAACTTATTGGCATAAATTGGCAGAACACCTTGCATATGTTCTGACCAGGGATTGAACCTACAACCTTGATGTACCAGGACAATGCTCTAACCAACTGGGCTATCTGGCCAGGGTTCCTCTTATATTTTTCATCCTGACTCCTTATTTTCCAAACTTAAATGATTACCACTTGAATTTCTCACTCTTCCTTGCAGCAAAAGTGTTTCTGCCTATCAACATATATATGCTTCACATTTTCTGGCATCTTTGAAATCACACTCCCTCACATTGGCTGCTTGAATGTGGGCATTTTCCAAGTTCAAGCCTTTATTTTACAACTTTCTTTATACCCATCTCTCTCACAGAGTCTGTTTTATTCACTTTAACCGGCCCTATGTGGGTTAACCTCAAATGCTCACCTGCAGCCCTATTCTCCTTCTGAATCCCAAGGCCACTTGTACTTCCATGCTGAATGTTTCAACCTGGACAGTTCGATAACCTCTTACCTACGTATGCTAACTTTAAGTCTGGTTTTCCTTTTTCCCCAGCCTCAAAACACTGGGGTCATCTTTGTTTCCCCCAGAAGTGAAAAGACCTCAGATGGAAATGGTAGTATCAACATATTACTAAAGGCGCCATAGCAAGGAGAGTGATTTGTCTGGGAAATAACGCTCATTGCTTTGTCCCAGTGGTTTCACCTATAAAAATCTCACTGTAATAGAGAAAAAGGAGCTTAATTTCCTTAGGCCCAACATGTGAAGTCGCCCATATTAAAGTTCTGCCCATCTTCAGCCACACTCCTGTGCGGGCATGCATTCTGCTCCACTCACCCTCCTGTTCCCTCTGACACCAGGCTGTTACTATCCTCACGCAGAGGAACACCATTTCTTTCCAAAGAGCTCTTTGTTTCAATCCAACTCTTACAAACCCTCAATCCTTCCCCCCTCCCTTATTTTTGCCTGAGCAACTCATCAGGCACCGTAGGTGCTGGCCTTCTATCCTCCCCAACTCCCTCACGCAGACCTCCTGAACGTGAACACCAAGTTCACGACCCAATCTACAAATCGCCATTTCCCCCTTATCTACAGGGTATTGCTGTTAAACCTCTCAACAAATATTTAATTTTACAGGCGTACATGGCAGTCACAGGGTTGATGCCTACCCACTTCTTCCCCTTCATGCTCTGCCATGTCTCCACCCCTCTGGGCCCTGCTATGCCCATCTTTGTGAGGGAAATGGCCTACTTCCCATCTACCAGCAGAGTCCGACCTGTGGCCCACGGACTGCATGTGGCCCAAGATGGCTATGAACGTGGCCCAACACAAAAATCCTCAATTTACTTAAAACGGTATGAGATTTTCATGTGATTACATGGTGAAGTGTATCGATGTGTGGCCCAGAGATGCCAAAAGCTTGGGCACCCCCGATTCTAGTCCTCTATCCTGCCTGGTGAGTACAAAGCCAACGGCTGGTTCTTTTAAATTGTTGCTACTCATTTGCAGCCCCACCCTGGACCCATGAATCATAATCTCCAGTTGAACAAGATCCCCAGGTGATTCAAATACACCTGAAGTATGAGAAGCACTGTCAAGAATCAGGGCCTCTTTGTAAAAGCCTTTCCTTCCAAGACACCCTCCTCTGTGTGCAATGGACCACACCTCCCTTTACACTCCTAGTGATTCTTGCTTTTATCTCAGCATCCCTTTCAATATGTCTCTGGACCAGCCTCTATGATCCTTGAGAACAGGAAGAGGTCCTGATTCCATTCTGTCCCTCAGGGCCTAACAAAGTGTACAGCGTAGACTGAGATTGAATAAATGTTTGCTGAATTCATTAATTTTCCTTTTCAGGCCAAGAGTAAAGTGGGGGAAATAGGGAGAGGTAGGTAAAGGGTACAAACTGTCAGCTATCAGATGCATAAGGTCTGAGGCACTAATGTATAACATGGTGACTACAGTTGATAACACCATTATATCACTGACATTTGTTAAGAGAGCAGAACTTCAATGTCCTCACCAAAAAAAAAAAAAAAGATAAATATGTGAGGTAGATGTGTTAATTCAATATATATATATCTTTCATAATATACACATACATATAATGACCACAACATACACTTTACATATCTTACAACTTTATCTGTCAATTATATGTCAATCAAGTGGGATAAAAATGGAATTATAAAGTGGGATAAATGTGAAATTATAATGATGATAGTAATAAAGCTATTAAAATTTCTTTTAAAGGCAAGAGTAAATAAAATTGGAAATCATATTGTCTTCTCTCATTATCTACATTACAGCTTTAAAAAACTTAACCAAGTTTATTTGTCCTTCATTAATATCAACAGACTCTTCAGTCTATTAGCTAAATAAGGAGACATTTTTCCTTACATCCCTTATTATAATTAGCATGTACTAGATATTCAAATATCCATAAGATTTGTCAGTGTACAGTTAGACACAAGTTTTACTTGCTTTGGGAGGTATAGAAAAACAGATTTTTTTAATATAAATTCATCAAATTGCTACCCTTTCAGCAAAACCATTCTTATGAGTCATTGCCGAAACCAATGAACAAGGTTGGGCGAGTTACAGATGAAGATTTTTGGGCCACTGCCACATGCGATCAAGACTGAACAAGTTTGGAAAATCCACTTATTTCTCAGAAAGGGACATTTCACAGCACTGTTTCTGATGGCATCGTAGGTTCACAGGCATTCCGCAGCACACCTCAGGGTCAGTACAGACCAGTACCCCCTTAGAAGCCAACACACACGTCGCCACCAGAAATAAGCTTTCCCTCAAGCCCAGGGATCATTCCTCTGGCCTGCCAAGTCACACTGCCACCCCTCCCACACTGCACGCCTCCACTTAATGGCCATTTGCAGTCCCAGCCAAGTCTTGTCCATTCTACCACTGCTTGTACTCCTGACCACTGGGCACACAGCATACTGAAGAAAGCCAACTTTACTAAAGGATTAGCCCCTGGAAACCCAGAATAATCCAAACAGTGCATCACTATTCCTGTCCCCAGTTTATAGATGAGAAAACTGCTGAGGCACTGAAATGGCCTAGTGGGGTCACACACCTAACCAGTGACACTGAGGCCTGGAATACAGGCCACTTCCACCAGCCCAGGTCCCCGTACTGTGCCCCAGAACTGAAGCATCGTGGTCACGGTCACAGGAAGAAGTATCAAGTGCGGAGGCTGCCTGGAGCACCTCCTCTCACCTGAAGGGTGCTCTAAGGTGCAATGATGAAAACACCGGGGCTACTGCAAGGTGTGGAACTGTCTCACCAGCAGCCCTGATGTCGACCTCAATGGCCAGGTTGGCTTAAAGTGCCTGTAAGCAGACTTCACATACAGCAGCAGTAAAACATGGACATCGTGAGCAACATTAAGGTAAGACCTGTCCATGCCAGGCTGAGAGGCTGTGAGCAACCAGAGTACCAGGTTCTAAAATGATGAAGTCAACACAGGACTGCTCTGATGGACAGGCCCGAAAAGGTGATGTTTATCGGGTTACTTCCCATCATGTAATGTATCCCAGAAGAACCACAAAGACTAAGATCTACCTGCAGAGATATTATTGGCCTCAGTGGTTTAAGTCCATGCCTTTAGCATAAACTCACATATAGAGAACTGGTTTGACTCTATCATCATGACCATCTCTTGTCCAGGGAAAATATGAGATGGGTAACATTCACCTTTGCCTCGCATGGCAACACAGAGAGTGCCCTGGATTTGAAACATACCTTCATCAAACAAGCAATCTACTCAGACAACCAGCTTGGAAAATCCAATTAAATGGACAGTACAGTACTCAAAAACAAAATCTTTAAGGAATATCTTACAAAGCAAAAAATCCAATAGAAAGCTTTATTAAGTGAAAAAGGACACTGTTAATATTGTCCTATTCTGTAAGTTTACACTTAGCTATATATTGAAAACTTCCAGAAGAATATACCAGAATTTTATCTCATATGGGATACAGCCCATTGGGAGATGGGGGCAAAGAGAAAGAGAGAAGCAGGAATGGGGACCGTCCCCTCCATACTTCGTGTGCTGACACGTTCCTCCACATGAATCCTCTTACCACAAGCAGCATACTTTTATAATAAAATAAAAAGATATTATTAAAGTCATGGGATTAAATATGTAATCAAAGATACTCGAGACAAAACAGATAAAGAAAATGAGGAAGCATGAATTGGATGAATAATTAAAGTAGGTAGACTCTATTATTTTTATTCCCATGCATCTGTAAGCATTAGGTATTTTTTTAATTCTTCTCATTTTACTAGGTGGGAGAAAAAAGACTTAAAATACCAGTAACTCAAACTGAGGTCTTTAGAGTATATGACTATGATGACAATACTCACTTTACTTCTGGAAAATTCTTTATGGTAC